CGCGAACGGCCGTGAGGGGAGGGGGAGTGGGAGCGGCTGGAAGAGGCGCTGCTGCGCTACAGCCTCGGGGCCTCGATGTCTCTCAGGAGCGGGATAAGGAGCGTAGGTGACCTGTCCCGGCAGCGCCGAGGAGCCGTGTGTCTAGAGTGGGCCGGACTGTCCTGCAGCCACGGTCCGGGAGGGGCATGGCTTTGAAGAGAAGCTGAGCGGCAACGGAATTTAGCCCAAAGTTTGCTCTTGCTTAAGGTGCTGTGAGGGAAAAACAAGATTTTTCTGGGTCGATGGAAGGGCGTAGGCAAAAGAAGGTCTAGAGGAAACAGGTCGGCCTGCAAGAACCGCATGATGATGAGCATAGCGAAGACTAAACATGTGGCCTATGGGAAATAATTATAAATCTGTGCAAACTTTAATTTTGGACTATATCGGGCTGACCAGCTCAAGTACTTAGCAGCTGAGTCATAGAAGACTGTGAACTAGGGAGCTCTGAAGTAATCCGGAACGATTTACTGCATGAATATGCAAAGGTATCATATATGCAGGTAAAAAGCCTGCAAATACAGAACACAATACACCTTGCAGCTCTGAATGTCTGAGGAGCAGAGCAGTTTCAGACCTCAGTGTTCCACATATGATGGTTTTGCACAGTGAAAATTGTTAAAGTGACTGAGTTCAAAATAAAAATATAAAATTGGGAAATGAAATGCTGTCATATGGCTAATAAGATAAAATTCTAGACACCTATGAAGGAAGATTTGGGTGGGCCTGGCGATATGGCATCTGAAGGAAAGCCAAACAGTGGATGTTCCTGCTAAGACAGTACGCAGAAACATCTTTGTTTTTTTGAAAAAAACCTAACTGAATAGGATCCTGTGTTACTGCAAGTTAGGCCCGTTTCTTGATGCGCACTGTTTATCTAAACAAGTTTGTTCTTAAATAAGCACATTTCTGTGAACACAGAGACAATGATTCTGCCCTCATCTGCTTACAGTATGCTATCTATGGCCACGGTGGAAATTTGCTGAAGAACAATAGAATAATCTGCAACTTCCATTTGGTAATTAAAAGAATGTAAGAATCCAAAGATTCCTCAGATAGTCAGCTAGATCAGCCTCTTTTTAGTCCACCAGTTTCACATTGATAGAAGTTTGTGAAGAACAGGTGAGAAAATACTTGTTAAAAATAACCTAGTTTTATTCCTGGCTGTGACTGCTTCATGCATTCCTCTGTAATTTCTTAACAACTTGATTTTGCTGATAAAATGCTAAGACAGTTTCCTAGTAAGTAGTTATTAAGAGTCTGTTTCTATACGCTGTACGCTTGTATATGCCCAGAACGAAGTCAGCGCTGACCAGTAGCATGTCTTTGACCTTTGCACTTGCTAGGCAAAGGGGACTTTTCGTGAAAGGCTATTCTGTTCGTTCTTTCTGCATCAGCACTTTGTGCAGCGTTCTAGTTTATGTATTTTCTTGCTAACATCTATAGTCCTCTTTGACAGTTAGTTAAATTCCACTCTCATTTTCCCAGGTCAAATGTTAATAGAGCTAATGCTTTGAATTTAGCAGGAACCTTCGGATGTCTGCTAACAAGACACTGCTTTCAAATTTAATTTCAGTGATATCAAATATTCAGTGATTTCAAATATTAAATTTTAGCGATATCAAATATTCAGTCAAGTAGACAAAAATAATTAGGAAAACTAAGATGTGAGGAGCGAGACAAGGAGGAGTTTGAAGAAGTGGTTGGAGTTTGTTGTACGACTGCACCTGTCGCTGAGACTCAAAAGCCTTTTATTTTCCTTAGGTGTTCAGCTGAGTGAGAATGCCTTGAAGTTACATTGAAAGATACATTTATTGCATGTAGCATGACATTTTCATTCTTCCTATTCAGAACTTGGTATGGTTTTGGCAAGAAAGGTGTAATTGTGTTCTGTGCATAGAAATTTTAAAATGATGAGGTCAATTCTAAATTTATGCAGCTTGAAATATTTCATATGGTTTTCATGTATGCTTCCTGATAATCACTGTCCATGCTCATAGAACCGAATCATTTATATATATTTTCAAAATTAGCAATATATTGCTTGCTTTATGTTTTATGTTTTTCATTTTGCTATTCATATGAATTAGTTACTAGATTGGTAGACCTGGATATCCAAGTCATCTGTAGTCATACCATGGCCTTTCACTTAGCTGAGGAGGACAGTTTCTGGCATCAAAGGTTGTAGTATACTTTGCAATGTACTGCATGACATGAGTAGTTTTACTGATGTAATAAAATTATTTATATAACATCCTCTTAATTGGGGGGACGGGCTCTACATAGTTGGCTCTTATCCGACTTCTGAGACTTCTGTTTTTTCCGTTAGCAACAGTTTCTTAAGCTTTGTAATTAGGACATATATTCAGTGGCAAGTAGGTTGAGACAATCAAACTCATTTTTACGGCAGACATTTGCAGGTGTTAGATGGTAATAGCCCAGCTTGTCTAAATTTAATTAGCATCTTAGCAGTGAAGAATTCTTTGCCATAGTATTAGGCTTCAATATTGCATTTTTAAATTCAACTTTAAAGTGACCTGAAATCAGGGCAAGATGTTACTGTGCATACTGCTTTTTCCTATGCCCGCATGGCATTCTCAGTGGCACTTTTTGTAAATATAAAACATTATAATGGGGTTTGACCCAGTTGTTTCAAACATCAACCAGGAGTTGTGTATTTTATGAGTAATTGAGTTCAGTGGCATATAATGGGAACTTACGTGGGTAAAATAAATTTCTCGTTCATGGGACAGCTCATGATGTAGTTGTACGGTTGTTAAAGTCGGGGAAATGGCTTCAGAACCCGTGAGGCCCTTATACGGACAAAATAACGTGTATCAATAAAGTCAACCTTTTTTCTATGTACTCAGTTTCCCGGGCCAAGTTGATTACTCTAGATAAACAGTAATTTTTCTCTTTCAAAATAGCGCGTACATTGCATTGCAGGATTGGGTCAGATATGAGTTCTGTACTATGCTGGGGAAGGCTTCCAGCATTAGTGAAAAATCTAGAGTTGCACTAGATAAGCTAAAAGCACAAGTATTGTGGTTCAGAGAGTAAGCCAAACACCCAGTGGTAAAAGGCATGTACGTACTTGCTATTTGTTTCTGCTTCTCTGCTGTCTTTTGGATGGTAAAGTGTGTATGCCAGATGCTGTCTGTCTTCTTTTTGTGTGCAGAGCTCAGAACAAAGGACTTGAGATGTAGTCAGGGCTACTGGATTTTAGCAAAAAAGAATAATTGTTGTTGTCCAAGAAGAATACACACCCTGCATGCATGTTGTGATAAAGATTCTTAGGGAATATGGGTCTTGCCAATTGTAGAGAAGAGCTTTAAAAAACACTCAGCTGCAGTGCTACAGATTTGCTTATCAACTGCTTTTATTGTATGTTTTTCTATTTTTCTATTACTCCTTTCTTCTTGAGACATATATGCCAAACTCACAAAAAAAGCATGGGCAAACTCAGTTTTATTACTTTTTGTTGTAGTGCTATCATTTACTTTGGTAAATTCATATCCCTGTTTAAAGTGCCTTAAAGCAATTAAAACTTAGTTCAAATTCAAGTATAGTAAAATGTACACAGTATAAGCACAAAAAAAAGCTGCATAGTGAAAATGCGAGGGCAGGCTATTACATTCAGGATGCCAAATACTGAAGTATTAACAACACCAGATCAATATTAAGGTTAATGATACTTAGTCAGCTTTATACAGTAGATACAGAACCATGGGCAGTATAAAATGCGTTGTTTGTACCATTAACAAAAGATAGAAGCATAACTCAGTACTGGAAAAAGTTGCAGTATCAGTTTTTGTTACACATGCCATAAGTAGTAAGGCAATTACCGACACTTAAAAGAAATTTTTACATGCTACCATGGATCTAGTAAATATTGTATGTGGTTTTCCTAGATTCCGAGCCCCTGCAATCCCAGTGACTTAGACTGAGTTAGTTTGTGGCATCAGTTCCTCTTAAAAATCGTCATCAGCAGTCGTTCATATCTTAATACAATTTTGTTTGAAATTTGTTTCATAACCTCGTAAAGAAAATATGTCTGAGTTTTATTTCTATTTTTCCTGTGTAAAGAGGTAAGATCATCTGTTGTACTTTGTATTTGACCAAAGCTACTTTGAAAAGTGACGGCGGTACCTAATACACATGGCAGAATTTTACCTTACACAAAGAGCCCTTACTTTGTCTGTTTAAGTGAAGCTACAATAGGTGTACCCTGGCATAATAATGATTTGTTATACGTACTAGATCAAGAGCATAACATACCTATAAGATTTTTCAAAGGAGGGATTTATTGAAGATGTTTTAATTCACGTTGTTATGATATGTGAGATAGATACCATTATTAAAAGTGGTTGATTGACTCCTTAAATTTGAACAGTTCAAAGGTATAATTTTACTTAGTATGGCTAAAAGAGTTATAGTAGTAGGTACACATGGACAAATCAGAGAGCGATTGATTTTTCAATGGAAATTACTGCTTAAAAATCAGTGGAATAATATGGCTAAATATTATTTGTTTGTAACAACCCTTTTAAGAAATGTGTGTGTGATTATATAATGGACATAAATTTTTGATCAGTGGTATCCTAAAAAAAAAAGGTTTAAAAATATCAGCCACTTTTGAAAGAAAATAATTTGTTAATATTTTACGTATTTTAAGAACAGCTTTGCATATAATGTTTTGTTTTTAGAAAATGTTTTAAAATGCATTTCAGTAAGTTTGACACTTGTGGTATAAACTATTACAAGGTTTCATCAGTCATTATGAGTATGCAGTATTGAATAATTAAGAGAATGAAATATGCAGTTCTCATTTCCAGAAAGAGAGAAGTTTCTCTTTTAAAAAGACAGAATATGTTAAAGTATAAAGTTATAGTTTAATTCTTAAATACTTAATGAAATTCTACAAAACAACAATAACAATGAGAAAATTAAAGGACCATACCCAGAGTAGAAAACGAGTAGAGGTTAGATTTCTTGAAATCTAACTCCCTTGTCCTTCTCCCTTTCCTTTAAAAGACTTTTATTGTATTAATCAAAATACATACTTAGTAAGGTTTTATAGCTGTAGCAAGATAGAGGCCATATAAGTTCCTCTACAGTTTATTTCCAGAGCCCGTTACAAATGAACTTTGGGTTAGTTTGCTGTAAGTTAAGGTTTGATAGAAGGAATACTGCACGACCTCCTCATTACCAACCTGACTTCAATGTCTGGAAGCGTTTTCTGTTTGGTATGTAAGCATCCTTCATCAGTTGCTGCTAGGTGGAGATCAAAGCGCAATGAAACTGATTTTTTCCTTAAGCGAGGGTTGTCCTTAAAGAAGGAACCTTCCCATTCTTTAATAACTTCATCCACTTTTTCTGTCCTGAAACAATAAAGCAAATGTATTTGTGATCCTTTAGGCGTTATGCAGTGCGTATGCTCAGGACTGCTTTTATTATTAAAATATTTTAGGCTGGTTCTGAGACGCTAGAGTTTTTCTTTCCTTTCTCAGGAAAGCTAAATAAAGGCCAAGATTTCCTTATATTTGTATTTTTGTATTTTAAGTAGACGTGGATACAAAAGAAAACCATTACCCTAAACGCATCAGGCAGCTTGTTACCAAGCAGCAAGTTTGTAATCCAACCTCAGATTGTTTGTAAGAAGCCGCTGGCGGGACAAAAGGCAGGACAAAATTCGTGCATCTGAAAGCCTTCAAAAAAGGGAAGTGAAAAATCTAATTCTAGATCCAAACCTCAGAATGTAGATCCACATTAAATTAAAAAGAAAAGGTGGAATTAAAATATGGAGAAGTGAAGGTCCAGCTGCTTCAGTGATATTTAGGTACTGAAATATCCCAAATATTGATTTAATCCTCTAAGTATCTTTCAGGATCTGGATCTAAATTACCTCTGTAAGATGCACAAAGGTTATGTATGAAAATAAGCTTCATGTATGGAAGGTGTGTGTTAGACCGTAGGATGGCATCAGTTTTTAATAAGAATTTTTGCGTGGTTTCAGTGACATGGTACACTACAATTTATATTAGATGTCATATTAGATGCTGGGGTACAAAAGAACTTAAAGAGCAGAAGAATGATACGATCCAATACTCGTAAAGCCAATTAGGATGAGTAATATATACTAAACAGACTTTCACATGCCCACCAAGGAACCTAGTTTGAGGTTCCCTGAATTTGCGTGTGTAAATACGAATGCCCTAGGGGGACTTTGCAAACTTGGCATGGTCTCTTTTACTTTTAGCCTTCACTAATTGAATTATTGATAGTTTAATTCTTGTCAGAAATAGAAATTACCTATTAGAAGCATCATTATGATATCATTAACTTATTAAATAAATGCTAATGAAACGGGCTTTAAAGTTTAGTTTATTGCTAGAAACATGCCAGTCAATATAACTTGAACTATCACTGTTACTCTGGGGCATCTTTGCTCTGCGGAAATGATATAACTTACTAAATAAAGGAGAACTGAAGGTACGGAAAAGCAGTGCCCACCATTTACTTCTAACTGTTATGTTGTTAAATTCATGTTTATCTTACTGTATAGTGCCATGAGCTTCAGCGCTTTCCTTCATAATATTTCCATCTAGGATCGCTTGTTTTGACACCAATTCCACCTTCTCAGTTTCGCGCTTCTTTACACCACCTATAAAAGAAAACGTAGATATGCGAGGCGTGGAGAAGAATAAGGTCAGGGCACAAGAATTGGAGGTATTTTTCTTCCTGCTATACCAGAAAAGGATCCTATTACAATATCCAGTCATTTTTCAGTAGTTAGGAACCCCCTTCAGGAGCCGTAATCTTCCAGTTAAATTGTGTATCTTCTAACAGGTCATCTAGTATATGCAGTTGTATTAGGAAAACATGTTCTACCTTTTCTTGGAAAATAGCAGTGCTGCTTTCTATGCCCTTTTCCACACAAATTAAACTCTGGCAAACAGGTTTCTGGTACAAAATGTTATATCAGTGTGCCCTCCCTTCCAAATCTGGGTATGTTCTGTGTCCTTGTCTAGAGATTATAGATATATGTGTGGGTGTATATATGCGTGTGTTTGTATTTTTGATGTTATCTTTGTCTAGATCGGACATAAAACTCTCTTGTGAAGATAGACTGGAACATATGGCAGTATACCTGAAACTGAGAAATCAAAAAGTTATTTCCTCACCATGATAATTAAATACAGAATCCACTATGCATATCAGTATCTGATGTGAGGATGCCTTAATATACTTTAATGCAGTATTGGAGTTTGGCTTGTGAATTTTTAGTATTGTACTGATTTTGTTATGAAAAGCAAGTGTGTGATTTACTGTTTATGAAACTCAGGTGGGGAGAGAGTGCTTTCTATTTAAAAAAAAAAAACTCACTTGAAGGCAGGGTAAAGGCGATCTTGCTAGTGGTAGGTTTTTTATCATCCTTTTGGTCAGGTATAGAACAACGAAACCTGCAAAAATAAAAATCATTACAATCATCTAATAATACTGAATTATTTTAATCCACAACTTGTATTATGAGCAACTGGGGAAAATGTAAAAAATGAAAGAACCCTAAGAAATTCTGATTGACTGTAGGAGCTATTTGTTAGGATTTCTTATATTTGGAGTGTAGAACCAAAGAAAGTTAGTGGAAATTTCTGTGTATATTTCATCATCATTTTCTCAGTTTTTTTAATCAGTTTATTGTTTGCCTGGAAGAGCTGTTTAATTTTATTAACACTGAATTGTATATGTTTTCACAGAGTTACAAGCATTAAATGGGAAACCGACTGCCTTGTTTGCAATCCTGTTACATGTGAGGTGGTTGGACTGAAACCCTGTATTTTCTCTGGAAATGACTAAGGGAGGCAACATTCCATTGCACGTTCTCAGAAGAGCGTGCTTGATTTTGTTAAGATACCAGTGCTGAGTGCAGGACATGGTATCTTGCCTTTTCCTTATGCTCTTTGTTGTTGACATTTGTGTAGCTGCCTCTCTTGTGCCAGTATTTCATAATCGTGGTATTTGTGTACCGAGGAGAGAAAGGGGCAGCCAGGTTGTGTTGGAACCAAGGGGAAGTGTCACTCAAAGGTATATTCCTTAACAGTATCCTAATGTAAATCCTCCTAATTGCATGACTCAACACGTTTTGAATGATTCTGGGCAATGCAAACTTCACGTGCAAATGTATATCCATTGTGTGATGAGATACAGAAATTCATGCATATGAACTTGCTTCACTGATGGTCTGAGATAAACAGAAACTCTGTCAAGAAGTTAACATGATACCAAGCCTACATTAACATGCAATGCCTTGAATGAGGGTGCAGCAATCTTACGTTTATCTGCATTATAACGTGGAGATACTCTCTGTTGCAAAAAATGTGGAGACTTCTTTTCTATCAAGTTTTTTGCAATTTAGGAAGGAGAAGACCCTTATTTTTTATCATGAGAGTTCCATTAATGTTTATTATGTTTAAACCTGTGTAAACCTGTGTCTTGCCTTTGTTAGGCATTGTCCTTGAGATTTGCTAGATGAGTTTTGATGACTGCAGGGAATTCACTTTTTCATATCAGCTGGCAAAGGATCATTCTAATATAAAAGCAAGGTGATGTATATGGATCAAAGAAGAACTGCTAAGATTAACTTGTGTGGGCAATTGCAATTATGTAATGGTCTTTTCTTCAAGAGTTAAAGCTAGATGGTACACTATTGCAGCAAAAAGCAATATTTACAAGTTTTGACTAATTTGCTAATACTTTTTCATGCTTTTGTAAGTTCATTGAAGTGACACAGAAATATGACCAATGAATTATGTCCGTTATGTGTACTTATGTGAAAGATATACTGAAGCTAATATTTGGTAATATATTAGCATAAATATGTGTATTTATATATATATACATAATATTTATTTTAACACTTTTATTTATGAACTTATATACAATGAAAATACAGTGTTTTCATTGCAAATTGGTGCATATTAAATGATTTTCACAGTTGCTGTGGTGGGTACCCAAGTTGTCTGTTGACAGTCTAAAAGCTAAATTCAACGAAACCAGTAACATGCCTAAATATAAACATAAAAAACAGAGAAATGCTTCAGGCTTTATAATAGGTCCATTTTAGTGTCTTGAAGATTGTTCATGCAATCATTTGATATATTACTTTTTGCACATATATGTATATATATGTATGATTATATATACATATTCAAGTAAGATGAAATGAAGACATTTTAAATATGTAAATAATATACATATAATTTTTTTAAATGATTGGTTCATGTATTTTCTAACTCTGATGATAATTTCAATGTGGAGTTCTGAAATGGAAGATGAATTTGAGTATTCTTTCTCTATGGAACAAATACCTGTTCTCTTCTTGCTCAAGCAGACTGCGATATGTTGCTATTTCCTCCTCCAGTTTCATCCTAGTGTTCAGTAGAATTTCATGCTCTTGAAGCTGTTTCTCAATACCTCTTCTCACTTCCTGTAGCTCTTTCTCTAAACTTTCAATCTCAGCTTCTAAATTTTGTAGTTGCATATGGTACTGCTGCTCTGTGGCACGCAGTGAACGTTCCAAACCCTTTTCCTGTTAAATTTAACTCATATTTTAAGATTTAGAAAGTATATGTAAAGATGTCATACATACTTTTCATTCACAATCAGACAATGTATTTTTAAACCAGTTCTTTTAAGACTATTTCTAGCAATAGATAGCTTTTAAGCTTTTAAGATAAAACTTTTGCTGAAAATTTTCCCTCTAAAGTCTATAATGATTCAAGATAGAATAAAAAATTTTTTAGCCTTCTGTTTTACCAGCAATTCACTACCACTGCTTCCACAGGTGACTGATTTTACCTGTATGGTTAAAATGATAGCCAGCTCAGTGTCATACAAAAGCTGAGTGATCTGTGTACTCTTGTATCCTGTCTATATTACCAAATTCAATAAATTGCTGACATCTTCTATCATGAATGTATTGATAAATTTGGGCCATACATTCACGAACAGTTATAATAGTAAACATGATTTGAATTGATTCAGCAGAATAACTGGGAACTTGACAGGGCAATATCAGGCAAGTATGTGTTTGGCAGGAGTGAAAAAATGAGTGGTATTATATTGAAGGACAGATTCTGAATCAAAAGATCGGATATTCTTAAACATTAGCACTTGATATGGTTATTGCTTTTTGGTTAGCAATCTGTTTGTGAAAATCCAAGGCAAAGCTATTTCTGGGCTTGTTGCATTTCCACTTTACAGTGGATGTGATTCTTATGCATACTGAATTATGGAATAGTTTACGTCGTGAAAAATACTTATTTTTTCCAGGAGATTTCCCATATCATTTTCCCATGCTTACCACAGCATGGAGAGATTCAATTTCCATTTGCATGTGGTGCCACTGCCGTCTGGCTTCACTGAGTTCTGCTCTGGCTGCCTTTAATGCTTCTGCATCTCTGTCCATTCTTTTAATTGTAGCTTCTTCTAGCTACAGTAGGTACAAAAAAGATAACGATTAAAATATTTAAACAATGAAAATAAAACACACAAAAATCTGTAGTTGCAAGTTTTTAGATTCATATGAATTTGGTAAAGCTAGCGGTGATGAATTAGTCTTTTATGTACAGTGTAGTGAGGGACGCCTTATACTGCTGTGTGAGAAGGAGAAAGTTGGCATGCTCTCCATATGTATGCTCATGCTCATATTAAATGTGACATAATTCAGAAGTGAACCAATCTGTTCTATGCATTTATAGTGAGAAAAGTGGGCCCCCAGTTATAGTGGAATTAATAAACTGAATTGATCTAACATATTATTTGAGGTGATTTGCTGTCGTTAAGGCTGAAGCTTTTTCTAAAAAAAAGAAAAATAAATAGTAAAACAACAGTTTATGTATTTGCATGAAAATTTATTTTTTAATCCATTAAAAATATTTTTTAAGCCCACCTTGAGCTCGTGTGGGGTCACTTTAGATTTGAAGTAATCTCTGATTCAGACAATACGCTAATGCATTGTACTTCTAGAATAGTTATTTTGCTGATGAAAATTTTCCTTTACAGTTCTGAATTTTACTGTAAGTGGTGAGGATGCAATAAGCACTTGAAACTGTGCATGCTGTTTTGCATGTTTTATTGCTTTATGTGGGTTCTTGTGATGCCATCAACTCTAAGGAAATAAAGTCTTTAGTTCAGGTCTTAGTAAGCAAGTAAAATAATATACGAACCTATTGTAGTTTTGTCAGGCCATTATTTTGGTGACAAATTTGCATTTTGTTAATCCACAAGTGAACACTATTCAGCTCAATAATCTTTGCCTGTCCTTTTGTGCCTAGATACTGCAGAATTTATGAGACCAGGTTATATCAGTAGACTTTGGCTGTTTTGTTCCAAACACAAATGTGACTTGGCTTAACTATCTAGTTTATGGCTGCTTTGTGTCATTGGAGTACTGTGCAGATCAGCCAGCTTGTAGTAGGTACTCTGGCCTGGTTTAAAAAAAAAAAAAAAAAAAAGCCCAGAATTTCTGCAGTACCTATGTACAACAGGGTGATATAATGCTTAATTTTCAGTCTGGATTTCCTGGCATTTGATGGCTGTAAATGGGTTTGTTTTTTTTTTTTTTCCATTTTATTTCAAAGTTCAGTTGTGTTTTAGAGATGTTTTATATGTAAATTTATAGTAGTAGCACTGTTTGTTGATAACCTTCAATAAATCTACATGAAAGAACAAATAATATTTGCTGAAAAGTATGACAGTTTTACTGAGAGCAGTATAAAATAGTTCTTGAGAAGATACAGTTGTCTTTGCTATAGGTGCTGAAAACTGTAAGCCTTCTTTGTATAAATGGCTCCTGTACCTTCTGTTTGATTTTCAAGATTCTCTTTTTCCTCTGGGATAACTAAATGGAGCTATGCATGTTACTGCAAATGTCATCATTTTAAAAATCACAGCAATATCACCGTTGCAGGTACAGAAGAACATCCAGATGCATTACACAGTATTCCTTTAGTGTGAATTGCATAGCCTAGACAAAACATATTTCCTTATCTTCTAGTTCAAGTCTTACTGCGGTAAAATCAAAATCCCTTCCCCAATAATATGCTGCATTGAAAAGGAAATACTGTACCTCATGGAGACTGAGGCAGGAATTGTATAGACAAGGATTGCATCCTTTCTCTGGAAGGTGTATGTCTGTATGCAGTCATTACCTGGGTCCTTGTTGAGATGATGATCTTTATCTGATTTCTGGTGATGAGCGTTTCATAGTTTGCCCTGATCTCATTGAGGAGCTGGGACAGTTCCATTCTCTTCCCATCCTCCACCTTGGCTAACTGAACCTTATTGATAGGATGAGCCGGCTGCTGCAGAGCCTTCATTGCCTGCAGCGAGAACAGAGAGCAAGAGAAAGTACAGGCATATTTTAAAGCTGCAGAGCTCTGTTTTTGAAGAAGCACTGGAAGGACGGAGCCTTTCAATTATTTAAAAAAAAATAAGTTTAGGAATGCAAATAGCTGTTACTTTTGCAGCGGTTAAAATGATAATACCTAATAATGGGCAGAAACAAATATTTACAATGTCTTTATGTTTTTGCTACACTGTAATTTTGCTTTTTTACAACCTAAAATTTTTGAGGTTAAGAGATTAAAAAAAAAAAAAAAAAGCAAAATTACAGCTGCATAGCATGAGAGCGTGCTCCTAGAACGCAAGGGAAGGGAACAGTGTTCCTTCCAGCTGTGCAGCCGTAGCGCTGGCAACCCTGCTGGAATGTGCCTTCCCCAGGAGGGTCGTGAAGCACAGGTTACTTAGGGGCGTTCCTGAATTTCCGTCTTTGAAAGTTTCTAAGACTCAGCGGGGCAAAGGTGTGGCTGACCTGATCTAGTGTTGGTGCTTGTCCCACTTTGAAAAAGGATAGGACTTTTAGACATCCTTTCAAGCAGCATTTCTGTGTTTCTCTCGACTAGGAACACAAAAAGAGGAAGATAAACGAACACTACTAGTGGTAAGGACTGCTCTTGCACCTTGTCCCAAGGGATTTGGCTTCCCTTTTCTTCTGCAGAGTGCAAAGACTCTCTGGTGAACTGACACTTAAAACAAAGAACTACTGTCCAAAGGAGCGTCTGTTTTGTGTCTGAAGGCGTTTACAGTACCTCTTTGCCTCGTTGTGCCAGCGTGTTCACAGAACACGCGGATCATGTTAAGACCCTTATGCGTTTCTTGAGAGCTACCAGACAGGAAGAAAGTATAGGTTGTCTGTGTGCTGTTCTGTACTTTGCAAATAATTATTGGTCTTTTGGCTTATTGTAGTTGCTGTGTAGTTACAATCTCGATGTTATCTGCTAAGAACTGCTGTAACCAATTTTAAAAGTTTTGTTCAGTCATGGGCAAAATAAGATATGTAGTAAAATTCAAATTTCAGTAAAAAATAGGTGGTATATTCTATTCACTAAACAGAATGCATGTTTAGGCTCCAAATAAAAAAAGCAATAAACATTTACAAGACCATTGCCTTTTTCGAAATAAAAGCATTGTACCACTTAAAATTCTCCTTGTGTGCATAAGGCTTCCTTGTTCTTGGCTCTGTCTCTTGGCACCTGTAAAAGGCTCCTGTGTTTCAATTTTATTTTTCTTAGTTAGCTGGCTGTTCTTCAGCAGACCTGGATTGAAATGAGACTGTTTTGCTGTCCACCATTTTTTCTACAGTTGTGTTAATCGTGCTAGTTTGGTACAATTCTAAAAACGAATTACTGGCAGTGTTTTTCTTTCGTGGTATGAGAACATTCAGATAATACAAAAATGTTAGGAATCAATCAAACAAATTTAAGATGTTATACCTCAGGACAGTATGAACTTTAATAGGAAGAGCCTATGTATTTAAACTTTAATAGGAAGAGCCTATGTATTTAGGCAAATAAGAACTTTGAATATAATTTTAAATCTTCCTTTTTGTTTTAATTGCTCTACAGTGAGCTTTTAGTTCCTTAGGACTTGGAGTATCTTTTCTTCATACCGATCAAAACCAAGGCTGTCTAGCATCTTACAGGAATAATCCGGAAACGGATAGGTTTGAAACGCAGTACAGAGCTCTGCAAGGATATTGGATTTGGTGCCATGAGCTAAACTCTATACACCAGAACATGTCTATGCACAAGTCTTACTATTTGGGGCTTAATAGGAACTAAAAGCTTTCCAGATGATACCATTTTAAAAACCTTTTAAAAATATATCAACACTAATACTTCTTTTTCCCTAATTTTCTTCCAGGTGTAAAGAACAGCTAGGTATAAGATCCCTGAAACCTAAAGGTAGGTGCAAGCAACTTTATCTTTACTGAGATTTATGCAATTTTGAATCCTAGCTACTTTCGGTGTTCATATTTTATTACAGATTTTGGATTTTAGTTAACTTCCCAGTTTGGATAGTTATGCGTCAGTTATTTGGATTCTGTGGAGCACTGCATAACGTTGTAGTGAATGACAGCTGCTTTGGATTGTTATTGTTGCTTTCTCACAAGGCAATGGCTGAGGATGGTTTCTAGGTGTTATATACATCAAAACTTGATCCTAAGCAATTCTTTTGGTGTAATAGTCAGCTTTAGATCATAATGGTAAATTCAGGATGAATGTGTATGTAGGTAACTGCATGATTATTCAGTGGGACATTTACATTAAAACAAAAGTATGACTGAAATTTAGATTGAATAATGATTTCATCGCAATCACAGTTGCAGATACATTATCTCATATTTCTTTGTACACAATTATACTGAAAGTATATGTGTCTTTGGGGGAAGAATACAAAAAGGGAATGCAAAAGTCCCAATGAAAATTAATACGACTTTGGCTCATGAATAAGATGGGCTTAGAATATGATCAGTTGGGTGACTTTTATTTGAAAGTCTCACTGATATATAGAACCCGTGGAAGTACATTCTTACTGGAGCATTCTTTTGTTTCTTACTTTCCTTCTCCAACTAAGAGATGAGGATGGGTCTCAGTCTCATTTTCTAGATGAATCTTTTCGCCACCAGAGAAGTCCACTATCACCAACAGAAGCTCCATAACTGAAGTTATAAAATAGCCCACCAGTGCCACCACCAGTCATAGTCCATCCAGGTCTAGCCCTGCTACTTCCTCCAGTCGCATATTCTCCCAGACTTGAACTGCCCCCCAAACACTACATACCACCACTTGATATTTTTATAGCTGCAGCACAGGAGGAAATTTGTCTAGACATTAAACAAATAAGCTTTGTAAACGCAGAAATAAAGCTCAAGATGCGTCTGTTTTATAAGATAGGCGTCAGGCTTTTCTGTGTAGACTTGAATGGCTGTGTTTCTGGAACATGTTTTTACTGACTCCATTGTCATATTTATCAATATATAATTTCTTATGCATAGCTGCATGAGCGTGGTTATTATAGCCAGCCCTAATATTCCTGTTTCTTTGTTTTGCCTCAAGCTACTGGTGATGTCAGTATGCAAAGTTCAACAAGTTTGTAAATTTTTTTCTTATTGTTCCTCTGGCAGCTTCCTTTTTGGTTGGTACAAGCTTCTTTTTTTTTTTTTTTTTTTTTGTTTTTTTCCCTTTTTTTTTTTTTTTTTTTCAGTTTCTACCCTTCTGTAGTTTTTCAGAAACATTTTCAAACATTTTGAAGGAAGGGCAAATAGCTTTCTTCTGGACTACTTCCATCCATTGTGTTTTCTCAACTAGGGTGGTATAATAGTAGTTAAATGATTTATTTCCTATTTTGAGAGTATTTCACATATGTTTTACTGTTCATGTACGGGGTTTACAAAATGTGTCTGTTGTTTTGCGGAGCAGAGTGTATGATGATCTACAATCAAATGTGAATTTTATTCCTTTAAATGCTATCATTTGCCTTGCTAACAATCAAAAAATAATAGGATGGTCAGTCATGGTTCATCAGGAAAGAATTTAATGAAGATATGAATGATGTGACATCTTTGCCTTTCTATAGATAACAGATCAATTTTACAACTGATCAGTAACATAGCACACTCTAAGTCATTTGACATTATGGACATGTTTTTCATATCTTACCTGAATGTTATTGAAAAAGAAACTTAGCTTGATATTTTCAAAGAATTGGGTTATTTAAGGGGATTGTGTTCTGGTTTGTAATTTTGTTCTGGATGTTCATTTGAGTGGAGTTCGGGAAGTCAAATTTTCAGTACAAAAGATCATATTGTATTCCCACCAGACAGCACTCTGGGCCCTCTGACCACTACTTCATAGCTGGGTTTGCTGCATACTTTGAAATGAATGTATCACTTTCTTTTTTTCCCACTATGCTTACAGCATTAATTCTATTACAATGTGTTGTTCTGCTTGCAAAACTTTCTCTCTTAATCCTTAGGATTGCTGTAAACGGAGATTTGTAAATTGTATGCTATCAAATATTGTTTTAATCCCACATTTAAACAGTTTTTTTTAATATGTGCTTGTTCTACCAGTGGATTAACTTCCTTAAAGGGCGAGTGAATGCAAATGTGTGCACACATGCACAGAGTACATGGTAAAGCAAAATATCCAACAAAAATAGCAAATATAGATCAGGAGCTTCAATCCTAACTAATGATAGGAAGGATGAAAGGGAACAAGTATTTTAAAGCTTGTTGAATCCTTTTTTATTAGTCAAGCAAACTGGAAAAAGAAGTTAGAACAGCAAAATTTTACCTATTAATTCAAAATTAAAAAAAAAAAAAAGCATATCTAATTGAATGCCTAATGTATGTACCGTGTTTCCAGTTACTGAACAAAGAACTGATGATAGTTTTAAAGTACATAGTGGAAATAATATAGGCAAATACCTAGCGACTGAAGCAGAAAGTATATTGCATGACTGTTGAGAATGGAAATGTATGTTTTGTTGTGTGTAAAAGAATCTTAGTAAATAAGCCAATCTTATTACTTCATACAAAAGAAAAATTATTTATCTACTACTGCTTTTAAAGAGGAATGGAGTGAATGGATCCTTTGCAATATCAGATTGTGTCTTATATCTTCTCTTCAACTTCCTTAACATGGGATGCAACAACTTTTCCATCCACCACTTCCTCGACAATTGTCTTGATCTTTCTAGTTTTCGTAGGATCTAAACATCATAAACAAAGTATTTATTAAAGTGCTAAAAATTGCAAAACGGAATATCATGCTTACATAAACAGTTCCATCCCTTTTCCTTTCGGATTGATTTCTTGTTATGATGAACTTTACGATATAGTTAAATCAAAGAGCATGTATTATTTTAGTTACAAGAATGAGTTTAAAAGTAATATTATTAGGACATTTCACCCCCCATGCAGACATCACTGAGAATTCTGCAATGACGAATTACTAATTCTGTATCTACTAGTTTTACTACTTAGATAAAACAACTGTGTATATATAATTAACATGTGCACACATTAATATTGATTTGAAATTAATGCAGGATTGTTATAGCAGTTGTAAAAATAAATTTTATTCGGTCAAGATCTACCTACCCTGAGAAGAATCCAATGACTGTGTTTGTGATTTGGACCCGGTCAAAGGTGAGCTTTCAAATGTAACTCCCTGACCTGCACTCCTAAAAATAAATCATAGACAGATGTAATATTGCAGAATGTTTACCAGGATCAGGAGAAATAAGATTATTTTTCATGTCAGCATTCATAGATTAATGTAAATTCAGAGCAGAATGGCTCAATCTCCTCAGATAGATACATGTTTAAAGAAGAGCTACCAGCTCTAATTATTTCAACATCTTTGTATCTTACTGTCTTTTGGTCAACAGACCACTTGTTTATACCTCCTCCTTTTCCCTGAAAAGGATATTGCTATAGAAATTAAAACAAAGAAGATTTTGTGTAAATTTGTTACTTACACAAACTCGCCATCTAGCAAGCGACGATAGGTCTCAATCTCCATTTCCAGACGGGTCTTGATGTCTAGAAGTTGCTGATACTCGGCGTTCTGGCGCTCCATATCAGCCCTGACCTGAAACAGCTGAGACTCCAGATTCCCAATCTGAAGTTGCATTTGTGAAAGTTGAGCACAGTAACCTCCTTCTGTTTCTGCCAAAGTGTCTTCAAGGGATTTTTTCTGTGTAAGAAGGATATCAAGTAAACTCTGACTAAGAAGAAAAAGCATTCTTTAAAAATACAAAAACAACTAACATGGTTTAATGAGAATAAGTATAGCTTCATTACTAATAGATATTTATTTTTTTTTTCTTAAAGCGAAATACTAGTTTGAAAACTGGCCTTCTTACAAATGTCTTTGCACTGAATGTGATCATAAAAATTAATCTGCTTTATGATGTGCTACTTGCAATCCAATTACAGATATTACTGCTATTTAGGAACTAACAAGAATGCAGAATTTAATTGGAAATAAATGCAAATCTTAAGTTCTATAGAACTGTAGAGGATTTAACAACATTTTTGAAGTTGGAAAATTGGCACTGACTAGGTAGCAGCTTCCCCTCAACATACCATGGCAAGTTGAGATTGTAGTTCAATTTCCAAGCTCTGAAGAGTCCGTTTCAGATCTGTGATCTCTCTCTTTCCTGACTGAAGCTGCTCAGTATTGGTGGAGATTTCCCTTTTCAGCTCCCCACTCTGAAATGTCAAGGAAGAATAGAGTGTAATTTAACTGTTCCAAATATCAGTCATTTTTACATGTATTTGACTGAATTTGCTATCTCTGTGGTGGTTACTTTTTCATTGAACCATGCTTCAGCCTCTTTACGGTTTTGCTCAGCAATGACTTCATACTGCCCTCTCATGTCATTCAAAAGCTTGGTGAGGTCAATTCCTGGAGCAGCATCCATTTCAACACTGACTTGGCCAGCTGTACTGCCTTGGAAGCCCTGTAGCTCCTGGAGAGATTTAAAGAAAGGACAAGATTCGGGTAAGTAAGTGCTGTGGTGGTAGTATATAGCCAGACTAAATCAAAGAACTGACTTCTGAGTTGATTTGGCAAGGGCAAAGCATGAAAAGGTCAATTCTGCAAAGTAAAAATCTAGGAAAAGTTTAACTTGCTGGGCAAGGATTCCGCAATAACTAACCATACGTGAAGTTACTTCTTGCATTCTGATAAAAATTACTTCTCAATATTTCTAGTGGCAACACTGAGAAAATCAGTAGTACCGTATCATCAAGAACCCAAAGCTTGTCTGTGTGCTTCTTTCCCTCTTTCACTTAGTAAACTCAAAAAAAGAACAGCAAACAAAACAAACAGTGAAAACGAGTAACTATTCCTGGCATAAGTAAAGGAAATGTTTAATATTTCACATTTTCTTCTGCCTTGTTTTGATTTTATGGGAAAAAAAAATACCTCTTCATGATTCTTCTTGAGATAAGTCAGTTCCTCATTCAGGCTTTCAATCTGCATCTCCAAATCAGCTCTTGTCAAGGTCAGCTCATCAAGAACTCTACGTAGACCATTGATGTCAGCTTCCACGCTCTGGCGAAGAGCCACTTCATTCTCATATCTTTAAGGAAAGTCATTAAACAGGCTTTTCATGTGGTTAATAGGGTCAAATGCAAACTACTGCTATGTAATTATATAGCTTTTGCTCTAAATTCTTAATATATATATATAATTATCATAATGTTCAATAATTACATTAGTATTCTACAATGAAAGAAATATTTAAAAATTTTTAGAATATTTAGAAATCTTTGCTTAAAATACTAGTAAAACTTTCTGTAATATTAAGATACACTTACTTCAGTCTGAAATCATCAGCAGCCAGTCTGGCATTATCGACCTGCAGAATAATTCTTGCATTGTCAATAGTCGCATTTATGATCTGGAATACAAACAATTTCCAGAGAATGACTTCACAGCCTGATGGCTTTACAGGTCAATATAGCTATTTACATAACTAATTCTAAATATGATTATAAAATTAAATCTAACTTGTTAGACTCTTATACAGCGTACTGTGAAAACATTTAGGACAAGATTTTCAGTTTCTGTAAGTCAGGATGCTTCATGTAATGGAAAAATACCAGTTTGCGTTCTGTGACCATCTAGTTCATAATCTCTGAAGGGCTTGCTGGGTAGTCTCTCTATTTCAGGAACTGAATTTGTGATACAAGAAATAAGAAACTTACTACATTTAAACATTTTAAGCAACAAGAGTTTGCACAGCTGGATTCTATCACTGCTGTCTTTATTCAAATTAGGCCAAGTCGGTTCACAGCTTTAAGTGTGATACAGCTACAGAATTGCAGTTAATATGCAACAAAAAATTCAACATAATGTGGTACCAATGCAGCGTGACAGAGGATTATTACAAGCATCAGTATGTAGAATAACTTTGCTCTCAGTTTCCGAAAGAAGTTTGTTGTTTTTATCCAAAATATTGCTACATGAATTGCAAATGCAAAAGATGCAATAAATACATTGCTTCGGTACCTTGTTTCGGAGATCTTCAATTATTGGATAGTACTTGCTATAGTCATTCCCAGATCCAGGGATACCAGCACCAGGGCCGTTTTTCTCATACCACTCTCGTATTTTGCGTTCCAAATCATTATTGGCCTCCTCCAGAGATCGTACTTTGTCCAGATAAGCTGCCAGACGGTCATTGAGGTTCTGCATGGTTTCTTTTTTTGAGCCAGAAAGAAGGCCACCATCCCCACCGCCGCCGCTGCCACCACCACCAGTGCCAAAGCTGCCTCCAAAACCAGTGCCTGAGCCACTACCAAAACCACTTCCTAAACCTCCACCAAAACCGCTGCCTAAGCCGCTACCATAGCTACCTCCTAAACCACTGCCAAAGCCTCCGCCAAAGCCACTGCCTAAACTGCTTCCGAAGCCTCCACCTGAGCTACCCACAAAACCGCCACTGAAACCAGAGCCTGAACCAAGCATAGAGGCAGCACCAAAACCTCCACCAGATCCACTACCAAAACCAAACCCGCTTCCCCCAAAGCCTCCTCCGCTGCTAGAACTAGACATTCTCATAGATCCCCCCCCAAGCCCACTCCGAGATGAGAATTGCCGGGATCCACCACTTGTGCGCCCAGAAAAGGCCATGGTGTTCCTGGTGCCCTAATCTACTATGCTAAATGCACAGAGCAGATCAGGCCAGATGAGAGAACGGTTTAGCCCTTATATGGAGAGCGTGGTGGGTGTTTCAGTAGTAGTCCCCGCCTCCTAACAGATTCTTTAATTCTTTTTTCCTTTTCTTTCTGTCTCACTCTCTTTTTGTCAGGGGGAAGGCAGTTTAGTATATCCTGACCAAACTAAATGACATGTGCAAATCTAAATTGTTCATGGGAGCGGAAATCTAGTACCCTCCAGGTATTTGCTTTATGAGGAAGGATGGGTGGAGTAGTAGACATCTCGATAATGTTTTGCCATGTGCAGTAGAGCACCTAAATTTCTTTTCACGTTTAAATCCATCCTGAATAATTTTTTTGTCATTGGATATTCACCCTCTTCTTGGTTTAGAGCTATTATTGTAGAAGCATGCTTGAGGCAGGAGAATGATCCCTTTCATATCATACTTCCTGTGTGCATGTCAAAAATATGTTTCTCTTCATAATACTTTTATGATGCATTTTACTGAACCTCTACCAGATTAACATTCCCTGTATGCTTGTTAAGAAGTAAGAAGAGTGGTCCAAAAAAGTGCATGAAGAGGCTTACAGACCGTCAGTGATTTGCCTGTTGATCATTAATATGAAAACATCAAATATACTTCATTATCCTCAACTTAATTTGTAATTTTGTCTTCTGTCCTAAACCTTTAGGCATTGAATCATCTCTGTAAGGGTTGGAATACCGCTTTCTGTGTCTAGTGCTGAAGCTAACAGTCCTTTTACAACATAAGTATAATATGCTTAACTTTTACCAACAATTTATACTTTTACGACGTAAGTATAATATACTTAACTTTTACCAACAATTTATACTTTTGAGCTGAAAAATAACCTTTGTTTCTTTTAAATGTTTTCCTAGTATCCCAGAATGAGGTAAATGATCTCTGCAGTGGCTGAGGGTTTCAAATCTTTTTGAATTGTAACAGCTCTTCTTTGTGCTTAAAGGGAGAGAGGGGATTTCTGAGACACCCTTTTAGGTGTGGGGAGAAAAACAGACCATCAGGTTTTTATGTGATAGTGACTCGCTGGTCCTCTTATGTGCGGTGCTCCAATAGTATGTCTGTTTTTCAGTCTTTTATGTTCCATGGGTAGCCAGATGCAGACATTGTAAATTCTAGCAAATTAATGAAACAGTAGTTCTTTCCCATCTGCACTGTTCCAAGGGTTCACAGAAAAACCTTAACTCAGTTGGCATTATTGTGCAAATTCACGAAGCAGTCACTTACAGTTGCACCTGTATCACTGACTTTTTTTCCATTATATCAGTTGGACATGAAAGTCCAGCTCAGAAACTGCTGACAGTTATTACTGTATTTTGTGCCTTTTCTAATATGAATCGAAAGGTCAGAAGTATCTGTTACAGGTTACAGATTTAGGCATGGAAACTCTTCAAAGTCAATATACTTTTTCTTAAGATGTTATTTCAGTAAACAGAAAATTGATTTTTCTTAGTACTGGCTTAATTATGTCATTGGATTTATCAGCTGAAACTTATTAATTTTTAATTTATCTACATCCATGAGCATAGGTGTTGTTTCTGGCAGAAATGTTTTATTAGTGGTCGATCAAAGATTTAAGTAAACATTTATATAGACACGTATTGATCACTTGGTATCAGTGACTCATTATTGTGAAAGCTAATGATTATTTTCTTTGGCAACTCTTTATGTACAGTAAATAGCAGATTGGATAAGTGACATGTCAAAAGGGAGAGTTTTTTGTGTTGATGTTGTCAAGACGAAAAGGTAGACTCCTTGAACTGAAGGTCTGGACATGGCATACTAGACTAGCAGTCCGTGGGAAAGGCTACATGCAGTTATTAGTAGAGAAAGATTTTATAGGCAAAATGTATTCTTACTGATAAAATATCTTTACTTGTTTAGTTCTTGGTGATAAAAAAAATTCATAGAGTGAAAAATAATAAAATGACTTCTTAAATGTTACATTTTAATTTACGATGATCGAAATTGACATTTCTGATTTATTAGAAAATCAGTTTTTACTGAGGTGAGGCTACATTGCATTTGAATGGTAGTTCAACTTCAGAAAAGATGCACTGAATCAATATTTTAAAATACTTTTTAAAACAAATCTACTTTCTATGTGCTAGAACATAAGAGAAAAAAATAGACTGCGAAATCTTAGATGGCAATTTAACTCATTTACTTATTAAATAGAGAATGTATCATCTAGTAAATTATTTCTCATAAAGCTTCGATGAAGCGTCCTTCAAGCTATCAGAAATAGCAGATACCTTCTTAAACTTGTCTTCTGTCAATATGTTGAAAGCATGAGAAAACTTAATGAATCAGACGTTGAAGCAAACTATCTGGAGGAAAGACGAGAAACTTCTCATAGTGCTTTTAGAAGAGTGGACCACTATTAAAAGTGTGTTAAGCACATGAGCAAATTTTGCCCCATGTCTTCATTGGATGACTTTCACCAGTTTAGCGCTTTGAGTTTCTTAAAAACTTCACTAGTAAACATTGCTTCAATATTTTCAGAATTGAATTTAAATTATTTTAATAGCTCTAGTAAATTTGTGTTGTAAGTCATTCAGCTTTCAAATTTATACTGAGCAAGTCTTTTTAATATAATTAAAAAAAATCTAATTTAAGTAAAAACTTACACTAGAGTTTTTATCTATCTTGGAAATAATAATACCTTTATAAAATGCTAATTTCTATTTTTTCATCTAGTCGCTATGTCAGTAAACCCAAAATCGTTTAAAGGATATTTTATACTTTGTAACTTAGTGATACAAAACATTATTTTTATTAATACTCCCACAGAAAAAAAGAAGTAGGTTATTTGACATTTGATGATTTGACATATTTCAACCTTTGTTGATTTCAGAGGGAATTAGATTGAATCCTTTATAATCATGTAGTTTTGGTATCAGCTCCAAGAAGCTGTCTCCTTTGTGCTGGTGCTGTTTATATTGCCTCTTCAATCTCATTGATCTGAGAGGAGACGACCTTGCCGTCAACCACCTCCTCAACAATTGTCTTGATCTTCTTAATTTTACTTAATTCTGTTAATAAAATTGAACAGTGAGTTAATTAAGTGCAACATATACTGACAGAATAATATTACTAGAGTCCTAGCAGCAATTCCACCAGTTAGAAAATATAGAAAATATAGAAAGGCATCATTTCGTTACACAGTTGCTGTGAAGTAAACTTTGTGGGGATTCAGGTTATGGTTTCAGGTCCTTCTGCTGTTAGCCATGATGTTATACGGGACATCGTGTTGAATAGCTCCCCTGTCCCTCCGTACCGACCTGATAGCTTCAGTTTAGCAGCAACCTGGTAGACCGAAAAACTGGAAATATTCTTATATTGAAAGGGATATTTTAAAACTAGATGCTTTATTTAGGAACCTAGTCTCCCTGTGTAGTCAGTGGAAAGGAGTAAATGCTTCTGAAGGCCTACAGAGAGTAACGGAGTAGTTCTCTGTTACTCTGTTGGCTCTCTAAGGAGCCTAGGGTTTTAATTTGGGCACCTGAGTTATATACGTAAAGCATGGTTTGTATAATCCCTGTAGGTTATCCAAACAGTTGATTGCTTTCTTAGCTTAAGATTTCACTGGTTGAATATTTGCTGTGAAACTCCATTATTCGTTTTATATTAGGCTAATTAATTCCTTAACGTTTCAACAGGGAGCCATCAAAAACATGGAAGTTTATGTGACGTACCTTTGTCAGCGTCCGCTGTAGCTGTATCCACTTGGAAATGCCTGTTCAAATTAATACATCAAAAAATATAACTATCTGGTGCTTAACATATTGAAGAAACATCTTTATATGTTTCTTGTACATTTAATTAACATAGTTCATTTCATTCCATCAAGACATTTAACCATGTATTTAAATCAGTTTTCCCTTTTAAAGTAAAATTTGTTAAGCGTGATCTATAGGTGAAATTAATCTGCAGTCCAGTTTCTGCAGTGTTAGGAGTTCAGCTCATGCAGATATGCCCAAACTAGTGCCTGAGCCGCAACTGCTATGCATGGAGAGTCTTGTGGGGAAGTATCACTCTCTGCTTGCCCTGTTCTATACTTTTGCGTAGTTGTTTGCTTTCTTTCACTACTGGATATGGGGTACTGGAACAGCTGAACCTTTGGTGACAGCTCACCTGACCCTCTTGCATTTTTAAGTAGCTTGGCTCCCAGTGACACAGGTGCAGCAGCAGAGAATCCAGCGCAGGCTGCAAAATGTGCCGTAGACTGCAAGTAAAGGTCAGTCTGCTCGTGCTGCATGCCTTGCTCTAACGTGACTAGGTGCCTGCAGTGCCTAAACCAGTTTAAAAAAATCTAGCCCTGGTTAGCCTGCCTGCAGAAGCTACAGTCCTTACAGATAGGGAGAAGTTGATACAGAATTGCATCACTTGGTACCACCTGGTGTTGCTTCTGACTTGTCCGCGTATGGGATGCCAACACCTGTCTGGCTACTTAGCTGAAAAAGAGTAACAGGACATAGCAGTGTAGAGGTCACAGCTATAAACTCAGCTGACTTCCACAGCAGCCTCTGAAACAGAGCAGGAACTGCAGCCTGCTCTGTATCGACGACTGAGAACTGAGCAACAAGCAGGTGGGGTTTTTTTTCCCCCAAACCAGTTACCAAATGGCAGATTTTACCACTTTCACCTTTGATTAAGGTAGGGTAGTGCCACTCATGTTGTTTCAAACATTGACCAGTTCAATGTTGTAGCGTAAAAAGCATTTTAAAAAGGACAAGAGAACCATTGTAATTATTATTTTACTATTGCCATTTGTGAGGGAATTTTAAAAATTATTTACTGTTTTAACATGAAGAAACATGAAAAGATTAAACTACGCATAGTAGTGGTTCTGGTTTAGAGTATTAAACGTTCTCGGTTTATGTTTTCTGACGTTCATTCTTACTGATGTCATCCAGGCAGAGAATGCAGCTGTGTCAGTAGGCTATCCCGTATCAGCAGTGACACATTTTAAAACGTAGAAGCATCTATAACCCTTTTATTATATTGGTTACAAGAGTAAGTCTCCGGCTTTCTTTCTCCTCTCTCTTCTTGGGCTTACTGTCGAATTTACTATAAACAGTATTTACAATTTTGTCTGCTGTCATGTGAAACTGAATTGATAAGCAAAAAGCATTTAACTCAGTTGCTCACCCGCTGTCCTCTCCTTCCAGTAGGCGGCGATAGGTGGCAATCTCCATCTCCAAACGTGTCTTGATATCCAGCAATACACTGTACTCATTGCTCTGTGCTGCCATGTCAGCCCGGATTTGTCTCAGTTGAGCCTCTAAATTGGCAACTGCTTCCTGTATTTGAGCTAGCTGATGACTGTAACGTGCTTCAGTTTCAGCCAGGGTATCTTCTAAAGACTTTTTCTATAGCCGACAAAAAGAACAGGAGATTTTGGCAGATGTATTATTCAGGAGAATACATCTTTATATTAAAATTACATTTAGATTGAAAAACCTCACAATTTCTGTATTTATCTGTGTAATGATCTGCTAAACACATTCCTGATTTCAAGTACCATGTTAAGGTGGGTCTGTAATTCCAGCTCCATGCCCTGAAAGGTCTGTCTCCGTTCTGTGATCTCTCTCTTTTGGCTTTGCAGCTGTTCGATATTGATGGCTACTTCCTGTTTCAGGTCTTCTGTCTGAAACAGAAAAAATGGAAGGACTGAAACCCAGAACTAAACATACTTGAGGATCTTGCTGATGTTTTAAGTAACTGAGCCGTACCTGTTTTTCAAATTGTTCTTTGGCTTCTTCACGGTTCTTTTCTGCCATTTCTTCATATTGCTTTCTCATGTTTTCCATAATAGTTGCAAGATTGATACCTGGAGCAGCATCCACCTCTACGTTAACTGTGCCGCCCACCTGTTTGCGCAATCTGTCAACTTCCTGCAACAATGAGGATTGTATTAGCATCAGTTGAAGTGGACTTTTAATCCTGCATATTGGAAGCAAATTCAAAATCCACAGAAATAGAAGTGGTTCTTAAATCTTAAATAGCACCTCAGGGAAAGATAACTTAATCACCTCATAAATATTGTATATTGCATCTTATGTTAGAAAATTTTACTTATTTTGTAGCAAGAAATCTTATCTCATCTATAAACATATTATAAAAAGATGATTTCCTCAGGGCCACATCCGTGAAATGACTATACAAGTCATGGTTCCCATCTGTATGCTTTTGTGTTCAGTAAGAAATCATAAAACACAAATTATTCTTAAGAAAAACCTTCACTCCTTAATTTCTGGAGCTGTTCAGCATTTGATGCCTAATAACTTGGATTTAACTTAGTGCCACATAGAGTTATACTGCTTCTGGAAAATTTTACAGATGCTTCAGTGCAGCACAGCACAGTTTTGAGTAGGTGCACCAGCTTTCTTAAATTCTAGGTTGACTATTTCTAATACAGTGCTTAAAGAACATTTTTTCTGCAGTGTAACAAGGAATTTCATAGAGCGGATACAATGACTTAATTACTAAGGGTAGTAATCTCAAAGGAAAGCTTGGGCATATGCCGTAATTCAGATTGTGTTAGCCTTTAACAGTCATCTTTAATGTAAAATTTCTGGTTTATATCTTTACTTGAAAAAGGGGAATAAATAATGGTAATTTAACCTTCTTATCTTTGCAGGTCTTTGAAATTATAAATGCAATGCTGAGGGTGCAATTCAGTTTGAGCTTAGACTCCTAGCAGATACTTAGTGGAGATATCTAACTTGCAAATATTTCTGCATGAGCCAGAGCTCCTAATAAGAAAAGCAGAGACCAAAGAGCACATAGCATTCACACAGGTAGTATATGAATAGGCAGCTAAATTTTGATATGTTAATCTTGAGCTGAATCCCACCCTAAGTGTCATATTATTTCAGATTAACCATGAAAATTTCATTATTTCTAGTGGAGCTGAATTTATGTATGCCTTTGAAAAAATAATCTCTCCGTGATGATGATCTGCTCTTACCTCGTCGTGGTTCTTCTTAAGAAAAACTAGTTCTTCATTCACACTTTCAATCTGGGACTCCAAATCAGATTTCGTCAAGGTCAAGTCATCAAGGACTCGGAGCAGTCCGTTAATGTCATTCTGTACACTTTGCAAGAGCAAGTGTTCATTCTCAAACCTGTAAAATAAGGCTTGTTCTGTCACCATCAAAATGCAACTAGTTGATGAAATGAATAGCTGCTGCAGCCTTAGTCCTCAAATATTTCTTTTACTGACTTTTGTATTAGAAAAGGTTTGTCTCAAAGTTTTGATTCTCATAGCTAACTTTCAAGACTAAGTATAAATTTTGCCTAAGTAAGTATAGCAAATACTGTAGAATTTTTCAAGGGAATAGAGCAAATGATATTTGCACAGAGCACCTATTCTTTGTTACTATTAAATTGTGTCTTGTTAAAGGCATTTTAGTTCACATATAATTTTTTTTTTCTCCCTTGAAAAATGAAACTGGCTATCTAGAAACTTTCATGAATAACAGGAGCATGAAAGAGAATGTATGGAATGATCATGGAACCTACTTCACTCTGAAATCATCAGCAGCCAGTTTGGCATTGTCAATCTGCAGGACAAGCCTTGCATTTTCCAGCTGTGCAACACCAATCTAAAAAAGAATAGTGAAAAGGGATGAAGCATTGGTGGTAGGATTAGCAGACAAAGCTAATAGATTCTTAAATATTATAGAAGATAACTTTACTTTACATTTATAAACATTGAATTTCTACCAAGAACCAGATTTTTGTTATGTAAAGGATTATTGTACAGATGTATTATATTCTCCAGTGTATTATGGTATGCAGAGAGAAACAAATCTAATTGAAAATTGGAAAGAAAAGGTCTGAGGCAGGGGAAGAAGAGAACAAGAATCTTTGCACATAAATGCACACTTTGTCCTTTCTTGGAAATCTCATTAATACTGCATGTGGCCTTCATCAGCGCACTTAACTTTACTGTCTATTAGTCATCTAGGTTTAAGTTAAATTGCCTTTAAAGCGCATGGAAAGAAATAGTCTTCTCCAAAACGTAAATTATACTGTCATAAGTTAGGTTTCTCAAGTAGTTGAGATCATCTGCAATCTGAAAGACATCTGCTTCTAAGGGATAGGTGATAGAACTAGCGAAAAGTAAGAGAGGAAAGATTTCAGGAACTTCACTGGAAACATGAGTTGAAGACAAATCCATCAGCTGATTGCTGTGGAAATAGATTATTTTTTATAGTGGTAATTTGCTATTTCAAGCAGTGACCTATTGCTTTTCTGGGCATTTGGTAGTCTCCAATTCTGAACATTTGGAAAAATGGCCCCTTTTTCCTATATAATGATAAGTAATGCACTGGAAGAGCAGAGCTGAAGCCTATCCTACTGTAAGGTTTGTGTCTGCCCTAGAAAAGAAATGAAATGTACCCAAGAAGATTAAGTAAAATTAAAGAACTGGTAAGTAGATAATGTACCCTTTTGAAAAAAATTGGTAAGGTGTACCTGAGATCTAGCTTGAGAATCAGAGATGGAACTGTTGTATTGTATAAGAGATCTTTTAATACGAATAAATGCATCCTTCGTTATACTGTAGTTTTAGGAGCCATTCATTCTTTGACGTTATTTGAGAAAGTTATTTCTTGAAGGTATGAAGATAGAAACCTTTGAATGTTGGCTTTAGGCCAGATGGAGTTATCATACGTGGAAGACAAAGTCTAGTAGCTGACTTACTGTAAATAAAAGCCCTACCTTATTTAATCACCATCATAGTCATAAAACTACTTCCCCTCTAGTCTGCTTTTTCAGATGAGATTATAAATCATTATTGCTTTCTGGATATTTGCAGTCAGAAATCTTTTGAGAGATGGAGGATTATATATGAATTTGTAAAATATTGTCATTTAATACCAGGCTACTAAAAAAATAAAATCACTGTTTACACAAAGATATTATATGTTTATGTAACAATAAAACCAATTTAAATTATTTGGGCAAATTAGGGGAAATTATAGAATGGAAGAGAGAGTTTTGGATTTTTAGCGTTCCTCAGTCAATTTCTCCTCTCAGGTAGCCTTGAAATGTATTACTTTTCAGGCTTCAGAGTAGAAGTTCAGATTAGAATAACTACATAATATATCTCTTCTCTCCTACCTGCCAAAAAGGTAAAGATTGAAAAAATAAAATGCTGTAACCTGGGACACCTTTGTGATAGGCCATTTAGGATAAATTATGAAAATAATTTTACTATTAATGCTAAATTTCTTCCTTCTTATTGACATAAATAATATCATTTATTGACACTTTCATATGATATGAGGTGATTAACAATTAAATTGTATTTGTTTTGAACATCGTAATAATTGAGACACAAATTATGAGTCAGCAGCAGCACTTTCCATACTTTTAGTTTTTTTAGAGCCTTAGGTTTGGTTTACTTTGTCAAGGTGTTCTAAGAACCTCTGAAATAATTAAATGAATTGGAGGACTTGGCTTATATTTTTCATTCTACAAGGATATTGAGGAAATAATTCAATTATATATTATATTCCTTTTAGGAATGCAATTCACTTATATTGGGTGCCAGGATGCAACAGTGTTCCGCCCTGAATACTGTGGCTATCCTACTTAATTTCCGTGTTTCCACTTACTTAGATGTTAAGAAGGAAAGAGGTAATCTTTTTTAAAAAACACTTTGAAATCCACAGATACCAAACTGTATTTTAATGTTTAAAGAACCTTTAGTACTTTCACTAATTAAAATTACCGAAAGCACATGTAATAGAAGATTTTTCAGGTTTTAGATTCCTCACATATGTAGACATACATCTACTAATATAAACTATGTAAAAGCAGTCACCATCTAATTTGTATCTGATCAAAGCAAAGTATTTATTGTTCTTAATTGAGACAATTGCAATTTGAAAGATAAATTTTATGCAAGTAGATTATTATGCATATATTTCTAGATGATTATATGATTTCTTACCTTATTTCGGAGATCTTCAATTATTTTGAAGTATGGACTATGGTCATGCCTTATGTCTGAGGTGTTCTTCTCATACCACTCCTTGATCTGCTTTTCAATCTGGGAGTTTGCTTTCTCTAGAGAACGCACCTTCTCCAGATATGAAGCCAAACGGTCATTTAGATTTTGCATAGTTGTTTTCTCATTGCCAGTCAGCAGTTCATCATTACCAGTAATATGAAGCTGGAAGTTATTGCTGAATTTTCCACCAAAGCCTTGTCCGTAGTTGGTGCTGGTAGATATGCGGGTACCATAGCCACCAGCTCCCCCATAGACGCTAGGTGCTTGAAGTTTTTGGATGGCTGTTCTCCTGACAGTTAAGCCACTGACACTGGGTGCAGGAGGATGGAAATGGGAGCTTGAACCCCGCTGAAAGCTTCGGTTAGAGAATGCCATTTGTGTTTTTTTTCTTTGTCTAAAATGAAAGAGCTAAGTCTCCGCAAGTTTAGGACAGCTGAAGTGAAGAGCAGCGTATGCTCTGTAAACCTTTATACTCTATTTCAAGGAGGAAGGATAATAGTTATAAACCCCACCTCTGTTGACACACAATGTAATTGGTGTCAGCACAAATAATATGCAAGATATTGCCCCCGCAATCTGTGTAATGTAAGGGGTTTTTGATCTGTTCATCTGTGTTTGAGAAAAACTCCCCAGGTAATTTGGCTTTCTTTGTGATTATTTTGAATAAAACATAAAATACAAATAAGCTAGTGAATGATTTATAACAGTATATCTGCAACGGTAGTTTCTTATACCCATGTGCAGTTTATGAAATTAAAATGAGAGCTGGTTATATGTGACAAGGGACTGAAAATATATGTATTTGCAATCAAGTATATATTTCTGTTGAGTAAGCAGTACTCTGGGCCTCAGAACAGTCTAGAACAGTGTATAAATTATTAGAAAGATGGCATTTATAACTACCATGTTAATTTTATTGTACGCCCAAAACACTGTTTGTACTGTAATCAGAAAGTGAATGTTGTAGGGAACTTGCACTGAATATGCATTCACTTAGTATTAGAAACCCTTGCATGTTGAACAAGTTTTCAGTGCAGTTGAAATTAAACAGGAGGGGTATTGCTTTGGAGAAAGTAGTAAGAGGAAGAATAGCGGAAGTCCTCTTTCATTTGCATATGAGATGCGGAAGTCCATGGAGTGATCTGAGGTGCTGAGATCAAGCTTTCAGCGTTCCTGTGTGACTAAAGTTAAAGCAACGCTAGTTGTTTATTAAGTAATCTCATCTTACTTTATATACGCAGATATAGTTATTTGTGCAGGTGTAAGTGGTATTTTGGTGACAGCACTTAGCTCCTACCTCGTCAATATTCTAGACAAAAATACTATCGACTATATATGTGTTGATATTTGACATCTTGGAGATCACCTGGCCTCTACGTTCGATAGCAGCTTTATCGGAGTGAGTCGAATCCTTGCAGAAGCCATAATAATCATAATGATCATCATAATCATAATAGTAATAATCATAAGCTGTCGCACTCACAGGATTCAAGAAAGTGAAAACTTGACTTTCCTGCAAACCTTCTCCCTCTCTGGGAACAATGTGAAGAGGTGGAGTTTTCTGTACAAAAGTAGTTCCGCTAGTGGGTATTCTATCGGAGAGCTAGATGGCGTGTTCATTGGCAGGAAACCGACTGCCTTTGTTAAGTGGTTTTAAAAAAAACAGACAATCCTATTTCTAATAGCACCGAGGTTCCTAAACTGACAATAGTGTATACCTTTAAGATACTAAATAGAGAAAATGGAAAGCAAGGGAAGAAGCTGATTGATGAGGGGATCATTAGTGCTATTGGAAAGCATGTAGCAGGTGTGCACTGGAACAGATGGTAGGTGTAGTTCCTTGGGGCATTGCACTTACAGTACTTTAGTGTATTATTAATGTAGAGCTAGTCAGGTAGAACAATTAACGCATATTGTTTGTATTGGTGGAGAACAGCTGCTCTGCATACTGATTTCAGACCTTGAGGCAAGGAAATTGATGAAACACTATCTTTGGGGCCTAAAACTGTGTCTTGGCAGTATCTTCAAACTTCTGAGAACCCCTAGGCCTGGAGCGTTAGGAAACCAGTACTGGTCGGTTTTAAAAGTCACTGGTGCTATCCAGCGTAGAATAAAGTTGCCTGCAGGTTATTCTAGATAGTACTGGGGCAAAGCAAATTGTTAAGCTGTCATGCTTAGCTATCTGAAAATGAGTCTTCCAAAGCAAATTGATTAGCGTACAGGGCAGAACGTTTTTTGCAGGAGGATGCTGTTCATCTGCGTGAATTGTCTTTGGACCTTGAACTTTTTGGGGTGGAACCGGTAAGTGTAAATATGGAAAAACAAAGTGCACTAGCCAGATCATTTGGACTGTAACTATAGAAACTCAAGGCAGGTCTTTTATTTATTAAACATATTTAGACTGAGTAAGAATCAATAGAGTCAGTAGGACAGAGCATACACCTTAAAGCTGTTAGAGGAATACAGCAAGAAATCCTGCTACAGTTCCTTCTCTTGGCTATGCCTTTCACTGCCTGCGTGTTTGACAGTATTTCCTGATAACTTATTTAATAGTAAACATTATGCTTGGTTTCTTAGCATTTGTTCAAATTAGTTTCCCTATTACCTTGATGATGTTTTTTCTAAACATCACTATTTGAACATTCCATTTTTTCTTTTATTGAGCAGAAGCCAAAGATCATTTATTGACTTTCATGTTTGCCTCTAAACATAACAGATATCAGCAAAGCTCTAGATTGGCTTCTGTGGGCCAAATTCTCAACCTTTGTATTCGCAACTATCCCACCTCCAAATGGATAAGGAGCTACATCGTTTAAATATCAGAAAAGCAAATTGTATGTGTTGCTAAATTAAAGTCACATGTTTGAAATTTACAGAAATTGGATGCTATTTAGAAATACAAGACTAATATAAAATACTTACATATGAGATTGATAGTGAAATAAAATGCACTGATACATAACAATGTCTAAACTTTTCTCTGACTTCACCTTACACAGTGTTCTGATCAGAATGGACATGAGGACTAGGTAAGACATTTGTCTTGGCTGCTGGCTCTGCTACTTTATGTCTAGCTGAACCTTGAACATTTTTCTTTCCTCCAAAATCTTCTTGATTATTAAGCAAAAGCATTTAAGGCATATGCAATTGGAAGCACAGAGCAATAGTATCATGTAGACTTAGGGTTAAAAGATACTGACTTTTCTTAGTGTTCTTTTTCTTTTCTTCTCCAAGTTGTTTCCTGACAATTTCTCTGGTCTGTATACACTTCTCAATCCAAAAGTAAGCTGAAATATTAGCAGGAATATTTACTAAGATAAAGGTAGATATAATTCATGCCATAGGTGGGTTTTGCTCATGTTTTGGGGGGTTTCTTACAGTTTTTGATTGAATATATCTTGAATGGTTGTGTAAACACCTAATACTGTGCAAATGAACACCAAAGGCTGTATCTACCCTGGTAAAGTACACAAAGGCAAGGCCCACAGAGTGGCGTGAGAACGAGCGGCTTGGGATGGCAGCCATCTCGGCAGCTGTCCTGCTGTCCGTCGGGAGGGGTCGCGGGCCGGTGCTACCTCTCCAGCTACGCCCAGGCACTGGCTGGAAGAACGTTAGCTGGCACAAGTCGAGTCTGTGAGAGGGATGATGGTCCTGGTAGAACAGCATGGATGTCTGTGTGCCAGTGTCTGAACCTGTGGGCTGCCTTATTCACAAAATGGTTGTGACAGAAAATAGTCTAAATAGCTGTTGAGAAGCTTAAAAAAATGTTATATTTTCTGATATCTGCAGTCTTGATCAGTTTTAAAGAACTACTACTACTGCGTAGTAAAACTGATCAGTTTTAAAGAACTACAACGCTTGCTGATGCTTTAGCTGGGCATCTTCCAACTCAAGACTCAGTTGTGAATACACTATAGAGGACAGTCTGTAGAGACATGCGTAGCATTTCCCTTCAGTGATGTGCACGGTCTGAATTGTTTGTGTGCAGCGAAAATAAAACATTCATAGCAACACTAATAACTTATTTCATGAAGAACTCTCACCTGTGTGACAGAAGTTTACTGTATAGTAGAGAGCAATGTAGATAAGTAGTGCGGGGTTAGGATAAAGTGTGCATGCCATTTAGTATTACTCACTATTACTAACCAGTCATGGGAGTTCAAGGAAAAAAAGACACACCCAGCTTTGGTTCTGCGTTTATGCAACCTTTAGGTGTAACATGCTTTTCTTTTGGCTGGTTTAAGGATTTAAGTAAAGAAAAGTCTTTTAGTTCAGGCTTTAGTAATGGCCCATTTTAACAGTGAACAAATCCAGTACTGCCCATTTATTAGTTCCCGTAACTACGTTCCTGATAAAAATTCAGACTTTTTGTCATAAGAATTTGATTCCTGAAGATCTCTTATAATACAATCCTGAATGGTCTTCCACTGTACAAAATATACTCAAGGAGGAAGGAGTTCCTTGTTAAATATTCCAACCATATTCCAGTATTCAATATTTCTGTGTCTGAAAAATTCCCCTCCTTCTTTTCTTAATCTATTTGTGAGAAGAAGTTACTTCCTAGGTAAATTTATGGTATACGACGAATTTACAATAAAGGGAAAAATTGTAAGGCAGACTTTCAGGTGAAAGTAAGAGTCAATTTGTCATGTGAGTATGAGTCAATAGCATATTTCAAATTCACATTTTTCTGCCTCAGTGCAGGCAATCAGCCCTGTGTGCGTTGCTATTTCTTTTAGTCCTAATTTGGAAATCAAGAGTGATGTGTTCCGTAGTACGTTTGCCTTAGAACTCTGTGGCTGATACGCTGCAAGATGGCTGTCTGTGATGATGTCTTACTGTTCTTGATCTTTTTTCACTCACATAGCCATGAGGCAACTGCCCTGAATACGCATGAAAAAAGGATAACTCCAAAGAAATTATTAATGTATTTACAGCAAGCGTAGTAAAAAGATGAAGGTTATAAAAGTATATAGTCAGTTGTAAATACCTCCATTTTTTTCAGCTATTTTCCATTTAATATTTGCATTGTGGGATGAATGAAAATGAATACTTAAGACAATTCTCCACCCTGAAGACAAACCGTCTTCAAACTATTCATTAGTACAAATGCACCCTAGAATGCCTCTGTCTCTCAACAGCACGCAGTAGTTTTGTGTTTTGCAGACTGTGATCCAGGAGTAAGTACTGTGCAGCAAACTAGATTGAGAAGGCATGAGTTCCTTGATCACTGAAACTGCAGGGAACAATGATCCCTGTAATCTGCAGGAAGATCTCTTCCTTGGAACTTGTAATTTGAATGTGGCCCATTTTGGTCTCTTTTATCTGGGAGCCACTAAATGTGAATGGTATAACTGAGTGAGGTTCACTGGAAA